CCTGAGTGAGCGTGCGCGCATGCACGCACTCACCCACGCATCTGTGATGCGCGAGGTGCTGTCAGGGCTTTGTATGCTGTCTGTACATGTGTGTGCGTATTCGCCGTCAATACTCAGTCAGCATTTTCTCGGCGTGTGCTCTGTTCTGCCATACACTTCGCTCGCTGACTCGCCTGACATACTTTCAATCAATCTCTGAATTTATAGCACTCGGGCACTCGGACCGCACATGCCGGCATAAGCCTCGGCTTTTGTAACCGGACTGCTAGGAAACGTAATCGAGGCTTCCTTTCGACAAGATCCTCTTTTCGCGTCCTTTGTATGCGGATTATATCTTCCCCTACATGGATTATCTTTCCAGAAGTCTGTCTTATCTGCCACATCCCTCGGAAACACTTCTGGCAACAGGTACAATAGCTGTTGCTGCTGCTGTTCTTGCTGCTGCTGCAAAAAATTCGACCACAGAGTCATCGGGTCTGACTTCGGGCGAGATAGCTGCCGCAGTAGTTGTCCCCATCCTAGTCGTCCTCTTGGCAGTGGCTGGATACTTTTTGTACCGCTTTTTCCGCGACCGACGATCCATCTATGGGATCTATAATCCTAACAAACTGGAGACTGGAGTCACGCCAGTTGACGGAACTCTCACACCCAGCAGTGCTCACAGAATCCCACCCAAAGAACGCCTATTTTGAATATTATGTTTAGTTTCCTGTTCTTTATCAAATATTAGTTTGACCTTGTGTCACTTTGTACAGATGATGGCTTTCTACTTGAGTCTGCTATCGTTCACAACATGATCTATCTTTCCTATTCCTCTGTCTTCTGACCGATTACAGCGTAAATGCATCGAATTCGCGCTGAAAGCCCGTCCGACCAGACGATACATTCCGAAGGAACGTTTTCAGTATCGCATATGGTGGTTCGTGACGTCACAGCCTTTTGAATATTGCATTTTCATCTTCATCCTTATCAACACCATCTCTCTGGCGATGAAGGTAAGGACGAATTTCCCATTCTAATCTTAGTGAACATTACCGTCATCTTAGAAATAAATAAAAGTGCAATGAAATCATTCTGAGCACTCTGTCTCGTAGTCGGTTTAAACCCTTCACAAACATACGAATCAGGTGTATGCAGTAGTTTTTTGTCACCTTTTTTGTATTAACACCCTCAGCCTATAGATAGGAGTGGAAAATTTCATTCTTATGGTTATTAAAGGGTTAATTGTAGTAAATTTTCGTATATAAAGGCAGACCCGAATGACTTTATTCAGTATCGAGGTGTATGCCGAATAGCTGTGCTCTTGGAATAATGGTACGAAGGTGGTTACCAGTTAGTGTGTTATAGAACTATGTACTATGCTCCACTTGTATAGCCTTGAGAAAGAGTTAAGGCATGTGTGTATGTGCGCCAATATAGGCGGTTCATTTAATGTAATTGAGTAGCAGATCCAATTTCGGTACACGCCGACAGGAACCCTAATTAGGGTTGCGTCACGGCTTTCTGAATCCATGCTATTGTAACGCATGGTTCACAATTTGGCACTCGGGCTCAAGTGGGATCCTAGCCGCGTCCTCTGTGAAAATATGAAACAGGTCACGGCTGACACGTGCAAACGGACTCTTTAAACCTTTCGTTCACTGCACTCAACCCCCTTCCCCCAACCCCCACCTACGATAACTTTCTAGGAACATAACAAAATGTTTGATAGAAGAGATTCTTCGGGAAACAGGAACAAACTTTATTGTAAATTTTCGACACTGGCACACCAAGTCGTCTTCGGACGCGATGGAATTGTATAAACAACAGTCAACATTTTTAAACGTGTCAAAAAATCGATAATGCTGCCTATTTTCAAATTCATAACAAAATGTAGTTTTTAGTACACGGAGACTGATTTTGCCGAGACTGTCACCTCATCGTAAACCACAGAAGTCTGTTAAAACATCCTCGGAGCAAATTGATCTGAATAATTTCTGTTTATGCAAACCAATAAGAAAGTTTGAAAACTGCATTCATCACGTAGTCCCATTGAGATCTATATCATCTGCCTTATAAGATGGAAACAAATGCTCAGCAGCAATCCTCCCAGTGACAAAAACAATGGGAAAATTCACGATAGAAAAGTCCCGTACGTACAATCAGTAATTGCTGACTGTTTGCTTAAACCATTCAGATCCTTATATCTAAAGATGATACAGATATGATTAAGCATTAAGCTTAAGACAGTAACCTTCAAAGCTCACATGGTACGCTCACGTATGCGAGATACAAGCAGCCCATACAGTGAGCTGGTAAGCATCATGTAACCAGGCCATGTGAGGTATGCATAGATGGACTGGTGGGATCTGTCAAACACTGCCTCCGAGTCCGCCTCCACTCGACCTGATTTATTCTTGCCACCAGACGCAGTTGCTTGCGGGAGGAGATTGTGCAACAGGTGCT